CAGGGTCACCACCTGGGCTGGGCACACAACTCCCCCTTGTGAGGAGGGTTGCCCTCAAGCTGGTCTGCCCCTGCAGGCACACACACCTTAATAGACTCGTTCACAAATATCCCTTCTGTGTCCCTGGCAATGTGAGACCTGCGTGCACGGGATCTGGTCTGCAGGTCTGACCTCTGGGCCCCGGATTTCAATCCCTGACCCCACCAGGGAGAGAAGTGCCAGTTCTAATTCACCCATGGGGAGCCAAACTGGGTAGATGTCTCAGCCTCAGGATGTGCCCCGTTCTCCTGGAATCACTGGCCAGCAGGACCTGGGAGGGCTGGCGGGTAGGGAGCTCAGAGTCTGAACACCCTTCTGTCAGCTGAAGAGCCACAAAAGGGAAGGTCCTGTTCCCTGGAGATGCCTCCGGCTGGTGGCCATATTGTCTCTGTCGGCAACCATGGAGAGGGAAGGGGGAAGGGGAGAATATAACAATATAGTGCCTGCCGCGAGGCTCAGGTCTGTGCACACAGAGATACCCCAAGGGAGTTGGGAGCCTGGTGCTGCACCACTCACTGGCGGTAGCCGTCTCTGGGCTGGTATCCGCAGGTCTCTCCAGCCGCTGAGGTGACGTGGCCTGATTACAGGACGGGGGATGACACTGAACATAAAATAACGACACAGATGCACATGGACATAATGACTTGAGTGACCAATGCACCAGTCGCTTTATTTTTATACCCCCCCCAGACCCAAGGTTAGTTCCTTGTATGGGAGCAACTGAGCATAGCAGTGATATCAGTCAATTCTGGAGTTGTATCAAAAAGGAACAATTTCCCATGGTCTCAGACCTCAAAACGGTTACTAAAGTGAGACAGGCAACATAAAACAATGCAGCCATTTGAAGTGCTTCTTGGTCTCAATCCCAGGCGGCGGCTCCTCCCTGGCCCCCACGGTTGTGCTGTCTTAGGTCGCCCCCCTCCATGGGGAGTCTTACTCATCATTGACTACCAACCATCAATTGGGGGCCAGTTCTTGGGAGAGTTCTTCGTGTTCTTGTTCTCATGGCCTCCAGACTCCCACCACGGGGGCCCTCTGTGTGGGAATTGGGAGCATTCGCTTATGTGCAACAACTCAGGCCTCTTATCAAGTCACAAGGCAGCAACCGCGTCTGAAGAAAATGCTGACTACTGCTGCGTCAGGCAGCACACGTACATTGCAGACTATAATGAATGATTAGTATAAGGCATCACACCAGAATCAGCCCCCAACACTGGGGAGCCCACCAGCAGTCTGAGATGCAAGGGAGGGGGAAGTTAACTATTCCACCTACCCTTGCCACTGGTCTCCAAGCTTCTTGGGAGGTCTCTGCTTCCAGTTCTCCTCCACAACCTCCTCCCATGGAGTCTCCTATAGTCTCCGGTACCTCTCCTTTTATGCTCATCTGCTTGCTTCTTTCTTTTAATTTCTTCTAGAAACTGTCTTTTTTGCAGAGATACTAAATCTGGAGGTGTTTCTCATCCGCCATATTGCTCCACATCCCCCCCCTTTTTTTTTGAGACAGAGTCTTTGTTGCCTAGGCTAGAGTGCCATGGTGTCAACTTGGCTCACAGGAACCTCAAACTCCTGGGCTCAAGCAGTCTTATTGCCTCAGCCTCCTGAGTAGCTGGGACTACAGGCATGCACCACCATGCCCAGCTAATTTTTTCTATATATTTTTAGTTGACCAATTAATTTCTTTTTATTTTTAGTAGAGACGGGGTCTCGCTCTTGCTCAGGCTGGTTTCGAACTCCTGACCTTGACCAATGCTCCCGCCTCCACCTCCAGAGTGCTATGATTATAGGCGTGAGCTACTGGGCCTGGCCTTGCTTAGATAATTAATAGCATTTTTATCAATGCTTTTATATTAAGGAATATATGTTGTTTAGACATAATGCTCTTGCACACTAAATAGACTACAGTATAGTGTAAATATAACTTCTATATATGCACTAGAAGACAATACAATTCAAGTGACTCCCTTTATTGTGATATCTGCTTTATTAGGATAGCTTGGACCCAACTTGAAATATCTCTAAGGCATGCCCATATCTAAAGTTCATTTAAGTATAAATTCACAGGTAATACTGGCCTATGATATAAAAGTGTAGACATAATAGAAACTTACCATGAATACAATTAAACATAAAGATTAACCATTTAAAAATGATGAGATACAATGAACAAAGTAAGTGCAACTATTCAGTACCTGGATAGAAATAATTGACTCTGTTTGTATCATGATTAGACTTGTCTTGCAGCCAGATGACATAAGTTGAATCCTGAGTCAGCTGAGTGGAATATGATTGAATCTTTTAAACTGTTTTGTTCTAGGTTTCTACATCTGTGAAATGAGATTATCATCAATACTTCTCTCAGAGAGTTGAGGACTCAATTATTATATATAAAGTATTAGTAAACAGTGGTCCTTGGTTTCTTTGAAAAAAAAATATCTATATACACATATACATATATATATTGATGGTGTCTGTTTCCCAGACTGGCCTCAAACTCCTGGGCTCAAGCAAAGCTTCCACCTCAGCATCCCAAGTAGCTGAAACTACATGTGCATGCCCCCACTCTCAACTTTTGTGTAATTGACTAATGTTTAAAGACAGGGTGTTACTATTTTTCTCAGGCTAGATTCAAATGCCTACACTCACCTGATCCTCTGCCTCACCCTCCTGAATAGCTGGGACTACAGGCATGTGCCACTGCACCTCACCTTATACTGATTCTCATTGTGTGATTGATATAAAGAAAAATATATATGCAACACAAAAAATAGCATTTAAATAGAAATATAATTATTAGATATTTCTGGAAGGAAAGAAATCAGAGAATATTGAATGTAAGATTCCATAGTAAAAGTAGCACAAATCTCATGTTTTCTTGCAAGATTCTCTGGCTCTGAGTAGGAATGTCATCCAATGGAAAGTGACAGACTGGCCTCCAGGGATTAGGAAATGGGTATCTCTACCTCACAAACTGTAATTAAAATCTTGGAGATTTTCTCATATGCCTATATTTTCATATACTTTTCAGATATGGTTATTGAGACTAAAAGGTTAGATATAACTGGTTAGCCTCTACATAGTTGACTTTCAAACACCTGATCTTACACGACTCCCACACTGAGACTTCAGTTAATCATCCTGTAATATAACAGTTCACTGAATTAAACATTCCTTTTTAATTATCACAGAGCAACTAGTTTGTATCAGCCATTCACTTATATGCACTTTCATGTCATAAAATTTTGTCTCCAAACAGCACTTTCATTTTTATTATACCCATGTAAGTATCTCAAGTGAGATTGCAGAGATGACTCAAGTGCAAGACATAATGTAACTTCTCAATATTGTATGTTAATTAAAGAATTGTTAAAGATCCTTTAACCTTAGGAACCACATGGTTACACTTCCAACATGAAGCATCCGTCCAAAGTGAAATAAAACTATGCAGGTAGAAGAAACACAATTCATAGTCGTAAAAAATGATAAAATTTTATTAATACATAAAATCCGTGATACGGTTTGAAAAGAACAGTAGGAAATAATGCCAGCAGTTAAATGTGATTCAGGATCAAGAATATGCTGCTGTGGTTCTTCTGATTAAATTCTCATGATAAATGTCCTTTCAATTTCAAGAATAAGACTATTTTTCAACAATCTTGCTAATAGCTATTTTCTCGAGTGGAGAAGGTGCTACCATTTCCCCCGCACTATTTCTACTATATAATCAGTCCCAGATAACACTCTTCCAATAAAAATTCTATTCTTCTATGGTACTGGATATCTGTATTTTATCAGAGCATTCCTTTCCTATATAACACAGTGGCATTCTGTGTGGAGAAGGGTGCCCTGGATGCAACGAGCATGACTGATAATAGGTTTACATTATTTGTAGCCCCTTCCAAATAGTCTCTCACTCACTGAACACTTAATTTTAAAAGGCAGTATCCTCGATCTCCAGGAACATGAATAGAAATCATCCTCCCCTAGAAAAGTAGGCCTTTTCCTCTAATTGATTCTTTCCTATTACACTATCATGAAATGAATGTAAGAAAGGCCTAATAAAAAGATTCCAAACTTCAGTTTAAAAGTCATAAACAGTGCCCTTTCCAAGAAACTTACAATTGCATAAAATATTTTATAACCTGAAAATAACTACCTATTTCAAATGTCCTTTCACCTTTGATATATGACATGACTTATAGTATGATTTGTAATTTTTCTGTAGTACATACCAAAAGTTAATTGTGAAGAATTAGACTTCTTTATTCTTTGTATGAACTCTCTAATGTGGAGTGTATTGTGAAAATTGGTTAAACAATTAAACATATCATTACATTTATAAGCATTCTTTTGAGTATAAATTCTTTATTGAATCCTGAGGACACACCTTAGATTAGTGAACTTTCTAGATTCACTACATTTACCTTGTTTTTATCCAGTATGAAACTCTCATGACAAAAAACTCATGACTGTTTGACTAAAAGGCTCAATACATTCACTGTTTATGTAGCTGTTCTCCAGTATGGACATACCCAGTTTGACAGTTTTGATGTTTGAATAAAAGCCTACACACGCACCTTATGTGTGTATGGTTTCAACAAAGATATATTTTTTGAATGCCTAGGTTTGAGGCCAGGAAAATGTTTCTGTCACATACTTTACAATTATACCAATGCTCTTTAGTATGAATTGTCTATGTTGACTCATGCTTGAACTTTTTTTTTTTTTGAGATGGAGTCTCACTTTGTTGCCCAGGCCAGAGTGAGTGCCATGGCATCAGCTTAGCTCATAGCAACCTCAATCTCCTGGGCTCAAGCAATTCTATTACCTCAGCCTCCCGAGTAGCATGCGGCACCATGCCCAGCTAATTTTTTCTATATATATATTAGTTGGCCAATTAATTTATTTCTATTTATAGTAGAGATGGGGTCTCACTCTTGCTCAGGTTGGTTTGGAACGCCTGACCTTGAGCAACCCACTCGCCTCAGCCTCCCAGAGAGCTAGGAATACAAGCATGAGCCACTGTGCCTGGCCTCATGCTTGAACTTTTAGTGAAGGTTTGAAACCCTCATCCTATTTGTAATGTTTCTTTCAAGTACAGATTCTCTGATGATGTGTAAGGTGTGAATTGTGGCAGATTGTGCCACATTCATTACATTTAAATGGTTTCTTCCCTGTATGGGTTATCTGATGTGTTGAGGACTGAATGTACATTAAAAGATTTGCTGCACTCATTTGTTAAGGTTTGTCTCCAGAAAGAATTGTTTAGAAACTACTGATGTCCGAATTATACCCTAAGGCTTGCCACATTCAATACATTTGTAAGGCTGCTCTCTGCTATGGATTAACTGATGGCTAATTAAACCTTAAATGAGCACTAATGGCTTTGCTGCATTCATTACACTTGCAATGTTTCTTTCTAGTACGAATTACCCAATGTCTTCCAAAATTTTAATGTTGAGAAAATACCTTCCCTTGTTAATTACATAATGACATTACTACATTAATAAGATTTCTCTCCAGCATGAAATCTCTTATGATGTCCAAGGTATGAATTGTCACTGAAACCCTGCCATATTAATTTCATTACATTTGAAAGGTTTCTCCAATATGGATTACATGATAATAAGACTTGAATGCACACTAAAGGATTTGCCCACACATTACATTTGTAAGGATTCTCTCCAGTATGAGCACGACGACATAAGGAAGAGTTTGGACTGAAGACCACTCCACATAAATTACACTTATGCAGTTTCTGTCCAGTTGGAATTCTCCAATGATATACAAGATATGGATTCTGACTCAAGACTTTGCCACATTCATTACATTTGTAACGTTTCTCACCAGTATGAATTATTAGATGTCACACCAGGTATGAATTGCAGCTGAACACCTTGCCACATTCATTACGTGTTGTAAGGTTTCTCACCTGTATGGATTATCAGATGTACATGGTATGAACTGTGACTGAACACCTTACCACATTCATTACGTGTTGTAAGGTTTCTCACCTGTATGGATTATCAGATGTTGTACATGGTATGAACTGTGACTGAACACCTTGTCACATTCATTATATTTGTAAGGTTTCCTTCCAGTATAAATTGTCCAATGTTGTGGAAGGTATGAAATTTAATGAAGACCTTGCCACATTCATTACATTTGCAAGCTTTTTCTGTGTGTGACAGTCTCACTCTGTGGTCCTGGGTACTGTGTGGTGGCATCATCCAACCTCAAACTCCTGGGCTCAAGCAATCCTCCTGCCTTAGCTTCCAGAGTAGCTGGGACAACAGAACAGGCATGTACTACAATGCTCACTATTTCTATTTTTTTGGTATTTTCCTCAGGCTGGGTTCAAACTCCTGAGCTCAAGCAATCCTCTCACCTCAGCCTCCTAGAGTGATAGGATTACAGGTGTGAGACACCATAGCTGGCTACATTTATAAGGTTTCTCCCCAGTATGCATTCTCCGATGTTATGCAAGATGTGAAATATAATGGAACACCTTTCCATATTCATTATAATTATAGTGTTTCTCTCTAGCATACATTCTCCGGTATTTTGCCTGGTGTGAAGTTTAATTGAACTCTTTTGCCACATTAATTACATTTATAAGGTTTCTCTTCAGTATGAATTCTGTGATGATTGACAAGGTGTGAATTGCGACTGAACACTTTACCACATTCATTACATGTGTAAGGTTTCTCTCCAGTATGAATTCTCCAATGACTTGCTAGGTTTGACTTATCACAGAAGAATTTGCCACATTCATTACATTTGTAAGGTTTCTCTCCAGTATGAATTCTCCGATGTCGTGCAAGGTGTGAAATATGATTAAAGACCTTGCCACATTCATTACATTTGTGAGGTTTCTCTCCAGTGTGAATTCTCCAGTGATTGGCTAAGGATGACTTATGACTGAACACCTTCCCACATTCATTACATTTGTAAGGTTTCTCTCCAGTATGAATTCTCCGATGTTGTGCAAGGTGTGAGATTTGGTGGAATCCCTTTCCACATTCTTTACATTTGTAAGGTTTCTCTCCTGTATGGATTATCAGATGTTGTACAAGGTATGAATTACGACTGAAAACCTTACCACATTCATTACATTTGTAAGGTTTCTCTCCACTGTGAATTCTCCGATGTTCCGCAAGGTGTGAAATTTGAGGGAATACCTTTCCACATTCATTACATTTGTAAGGTTTCTCTCCAGTGTGAATTCTCCGATGTTGTACAAGGTGTGCAATTTGACTGAAGACCTTGCCACATTCATTACACTTGTAAGGTTTCTCTCCAGTGTGTATTCTCCGATGTTGTATAAGATGTGAAATGGTATTGAAGACCTTGCCACATTCATTACACTTGTAAGGTTTTTCTCCAAAATGTATTCTCCGATGACTTGCAAGGTATGATTTTTTATTAAAGACCTTGGCACACACAGCACATTCAAATCGTTTCTCTTCTGCATGGATTATTTGATGTACAGTGAAATGTAAACCTTGATTAAAGGCTTCACCACACTCATTACATTTGTAATGTTCTGTCTCTATGTGTGCTTTCTGTTTCTGTGTAAATAATGAATCCATAAAATCATATTCATCTTCATTAGAAATGTGGGGTTTGATAGTAGAAGGAATTCTGTGGGGTGGGGAAACCAAGGAATAATTGCTGACATAGTTCTCCATGTGATTCCATTCATAAATTTTCTCTTCAGCCTTAAATAGCTGCAGTTCTGGTAGATGTGACTGACTGTTTAATCCAAGCTCATTTTTAATAAACTTGTTTCCTGAATCCCTTCTATCATGCTGATGATCTCTCCTACCAGTGAGATTTTCCTTATGGGTCTTACCGACTATTTGGCAATGTCTTTCAGCAACTTGCCAGTGATACTTGAAGTTTTGTATATTTTTCTGGATTTCCGTAAACCAGAAGTCTTCAATGTCATGGCTTTCGTGCCTTTCCAACATCACTGTTTGGGATATTTCTCCTGTATTACTATTCAGTTTAGGAAATGACAATTCATTTATCATATATATAGAAGAGATACCTACAAGATATAAAGAACCACAGGTTTATGATGAATTCCAGATGGTCATTAAATACCTCCCAAGCGTAACATACATATAAGAAAGAGTTATTAAATTTCCAATTATGATGTTTAATTTTTAGGAAAATGGGTTCCTTAAAATATCAAAAAAGTAATTTAAAAAAATTGCAGGGAAGCTTAGTATGAAGCAATCTATAACCAAAGTACATTGTACAAACCTATGTTAACCTTGAAAGAAGAAGAATTTTTCCACCATTAAGCCAAAACACATGACAATGGGCTGAAAATATATGCCTGTCTAGTAATTGAAGAGAATTATGTACTTGTACTTGGAAAATGTATTGACGAGGGTCAGAGAAAACAGTTTGGAAGAAATAAAAAATGACACCCTATACCACATAAGACAGGCAACTATGATCTGAATATCTGTGTTACCAAAATTCATCTGTTGAAGTACTATTCACAATTTTCACTATTCACAGTTTTTACAAAGACCATGCAATATGCTTAGCCATCGACTATCACTAGCTTGTTGGAAAGAGTCTTGAGATAAATTATTCTTTTTCAAATAAAAACAGTATGTTCACAGTGTTTACGTATGTAACCCCATTATTGCACATTAAGTGAGAAAAGGAGAAGTTGATCCTGGGTCTGCAGGCTCAGACATGTTCTTAGGAACATCTGCTGATCAAAGCAGTACCAAAAAGAACAGGTCATAGGAAATAGAGAAGCACAGGAAAGAATATTTCAAGGGATACCGATCTAAGCTTTGTTGTTAATAGAGTTACTCAGTCATCCTTTATACATAATGCTATGTGAGTCATCACCCAGGGCACATAATTCATTTAGTCACCAGTGACAATAATGACTGCAGAAGTGTCCTGCAAAAGTTTTCCAGTGTTGAGCAACTGTCTTTACTTATACAGTGACAGCAGTGTGGGTGGTAAGGGGGTCTTGTGGAAATTGGAGTGCTCAGAAATACAAAAATTAAAATGCTAAAAAGTGATTGTATTGTCCATCTAAACCAAGAACCCACAAGAGAAAAGGCAAGAGTGGAAGGAAGGAAGCAATGAAGGGAGGATGTGTACCCAGAGGGATGATTCCTGGGCTAAGTGTGCTCAGTATGTGTTTGAGGAAACGAAGCTAGCAGGAAGATGTTGTCAAGGCCTGCCATTGATCACATTACTGAAATTGGGGGGAAAAAACTCCACCTCACTAACTAGAATATTGAATACATAATATGTTTTGTATGCAGGAGCAAAATTATGTTTGCAAATCTATGGAAATCGATTATACTATGTCAGTTAAAATTCCACCCTTGATAGTAAAGAGAAACTAATTTAGCAATCAACACAAAACTACCCCATTCTTAACTAGGAGACTAAAGCTACAGTAGTGAGACGAAACTGGAAGAGATTTGATGGAAACTCAAGTTTGATGATGTGGAAAGAAATTAGGCTTACATGTCCTACAATATTTACTATGAAACTAACCAAATTAAATGACCTCTAAATTCTATTTCTAGACACATAATCAACAAATTCTACATATAGATTCTATGAGATTATGTGCTCTCAGTGGGAACCAAAAGCAAATTCCTGATTATGTCCTTGGAGAAAAGATGGATGATTTCATTCTGTACACACAATGATACAATGAAACTTGATAAAGAGTACAGCAATGTAGGGAAATCATGGGTACAGAATCATGATCTACGCACTGAGGGGGTAGAGATATGTTTAAAGAAACAAAGCTAGGAGGCTGTTATTATGGTCTGCTCTTGATCATAATAGTGAAATTGAATAAAAACCTAATTATAATATTAAATAAATAATATGTTTTGCTAAGAAAATAATTTTGGCATATAAATATTTGAAGTTACTTTCCTCTTTTGGTTTATAAAAATTGCAGTGCCTCTTTTGCTGGCTTCTATGATTATTTAAAATTCATCACTGGACCTCTTAACACAGAATCAGACATAAAGAAATGACAGGCAGGAGTTCAAAACCAGCCTGAGCGAGACCCCGTCTCTACTATAAATAGAAACAAATTAATTGGCCAACTGATATATATATATATAAAATTAGCCGGGCATGGTGGCGCATGCCTGTAGTCCCAGCTACCCGGGAGGCTGAGGCAGAAGGATCACTCGAGCCCAGGAGTTTGAGGTTGCTGTGAGCTAGGCTGACGCCACGGCACTCACTCTAGCCTGGCAACGAAAGCGAGACTCTGTCTCAAAAAAAAAAAAAAAAAAAAAAAAGAAATGACAGGAATACTTTTGTCTGCTATATAGCAGACTGGAAAATTCCAGACCTTGTTCCCTTAGAAAGACACCAAGTTACAAATATATAGTGCAAAATATCTTTGGAAAAACTCTTAAAACAAGACAGCCTCTGTAATTACCTGACAAAAACATAAAACAAGTTGTTAACGATTCTCAGTGAACTAATAAATGAGATTGACAACTTAATGAAATTAGTAAAAAATGTATGAACAAATGAGAATTTTAAAAAAGAGTGAAAATGTAAAGAACAAATAATCAGAACTTCTATAGGTAATGCAATAAGTGAATTGACAAATACATTAGAGCAGTTAAATAGGGAACAACATGAGGTAGTAGAAAGAATGAGAGAACTGAAGACAAAATATTACAAATTACCATTCAAAAATTAAAAATGAAAGAACAAGGAAAAGAAAAATAGACTGATTATTTTATGAGATATCATCAAATGGAAGAATATACATATTCAGGAGCCTCACAAAGACAACAAGAAGGATATGAGAACTCATTTGAAAAAATAATTTCCAAAACATCCCAAACTCAAGGAAAGAAATGGATATATAAATTTAAGAAGCTCAAACAACTCCAACTTAATATAATCCAAAGACACTGCACAAGACACATTAGAAACTAATTATTAAAGGCAATAACAATGGGAACATTGTATATGGAGCAAGAGAAAAGAGACTTGTGATTTACAAGGGAACCTTGTATATCATTATCTGCATTTCTCAGCAGAAACCTTTCAGTCCAAAAAGCAGTGGGATGGTACATTCCAAGTGCTTAATGAAAAAACCTGCCAACCAAGAATCCTACAGTTTGCAAAATTCCCCTTGAAAAATAAAAAATTAAGGCCGGGCACAGTGGCTCGCGCCTGTAATCCTAGCACTCTGGAAGGCCAAGGTGGGAAGATTGTTTGAGGTCAGGAGTTCAAAACCAGCCAGAGCAAGAGCGAGACCCCCGTCTCTACTAAAAATAGAAAGAGGGGGGAGGGGGGTGGGTATATACATACATAATGAGTGAGATGTGCACCATCTGGGGGATGGTCATGCTGGAGACTCAGACTTGTGGGGGGAGGGGGGAAATGGGCATTTATTGAAACCTTAATATCTGTACCCCCATAATATGCCAAAATAAAATAAATAAGTAAATAGAAAGAAATTAGCTGCATAACTAAAAATATATAGTAAAAATTAGCCAGGCATGGCACATGCCTGTAGTTCTAGCTACCATGTTTCCCTGAAAATAAGACCTACCCATAAAATAAGCCCTAGCAGGATTTCTAAGCATTTGTGCAATATAAGCCCTACCCTGAAAATAAGACCTAGTGATGAGCGTGGCTACACAGCGTATTTGCACAGCCCATGCATTTCTTTGCCTAGTGGTAAAGAAGACAAGCAGCCCTTCTCATCTGCCCCATGAGAGCTCTATTGCTCGACATGACAGATTGGGGCCAATGGTTCTAAAGGAAATAGAGTCGTAAGAAATTTGAGATGGAATTTGGGGTTTGGAGAATTATGATGATATTCCAGAAAAAGACAACTCAACTA